TCACATGCGCTTCCACCAGCACGCAGCTGGGCAGCTGCCATGTCTTGTCAAGCCCAGGATATGCTCTTGGAACATCTTTCTTTGCCTGCTAAACTCCCTCTGTTCTCTCTGTGTGTGTCAGGGTCGATGTCTCCATTGTGCCATAGCAGTGCCATTAGTTATATTAACCACCCTCCACCCAGTAATGACAATCCAGCATATCTCCAAATTAGCCTTTTTATTGAAATCAATAAAGGAGAAATCACATGGCACTAAACTATTTGGTGGCAGCTTTGTTACAAACTCATTACTGGAAAAACCTTTTAAGAGACCTTTAACCACAGCCATTGATTCCTGCACAGCAAGGGTGATCTATGGAGTTAATCAGCTGAGTCACAGCAGAAAGCCCTGGCCGTGTGCTGTCCTGCCTGAGACTTGGCCACATGTCAACAACAACTCTTTACGTGCAGTAGAGTTGTAGCCTCACAAAAGCAAGACTGACACCACCACCAATCTCCAAACAGACCGATTTTAAAGGCAGTAGATATGCTTCTAGGAGTATAGCAGGAGGTTCAGAGGATCCACTCACAGAGTCAATTTTTGCAGGGCTGACCCTTTTTGACCCTCTACCAGTGACATGCTCAAAGCTGTAGCCCCTCATTTTTGGATAACTCCCATGCCTGTACATCTGAGGAAAGGTTAACATGGCTTTTTTTCCTCTGTAACTACACGTTCAAGCTCCATTTGAGTTCCTTTTTCATTGAGGCTGCTGAAAGAACAGACAGCACCAGTACATACACAGAGCCCTATGTCTCCTTCCTGGCCTTGTGACAGAACTTAGACAGTAAAACACTTAGAATCAGATTGCTTCACAAGAAAGAATGAATTGAATTTTTGCAGGTATCCAATACCTAAGAGCTTTAAAGAGCCAGCATCTGATAACAAATGATTCCTGCAGGAGTCTGGTGTCAGTTTATTCCAAAATATGTGTCTACTTGCAGTCATTGGCATCAAGCTGCTTCTTGAAAATACCAAGATATAGTACATGACACCAAATAATTTTTACCTTTATTTTGCCCAAGGTGCTTCCAGAGAGATATCTCCTCATAAGTGCCTGTGCAGTTCAAAAAAAACAGGACCAAAAGAAATTCAGATGGAATGCAAACACATTGTGTAAAGAAATATCTGAGAATAAGGCACACTTTTTGAGACGTGTGACACAAACCTTCCTTTTTACCTCTCAGAAAACCTCTATAACAACCACCACAATTTAGTAGTAATTTTTGAAGTGCTTCCAGCCACATCTGCACTTTCCATGCAGGGCCTTGAGCAGGGATAGGACAGCCCACATGCCCAGCAGCTCAGCCTGCCTGTCCCAAGGGCTCTCAGAGCTGGCTCTGCTCCTGCCTGGAACGGGCTCCGTGCATCTCCAGGGGTGGCCAGGGCAGCCACACGCTGGCCAAAGCCACCACCTCAGCACCAGAGATGCATCCTCCCCCTGGCTGCTCTATTAAAGCTGAGCTAAAAGGCTTTTCTGCTTTATAGACTTTTCTCAATGAATTTTCCCATACAGGCACTAACTTCCTTTTACAGAATTTTGTGATGATACTCAAATTCATCCTAAGGAGTGTTTATTCTGTTTACTCAAATGAAGCACAACTGCTTCCCCTGAGAGCTTTCTGCAGGTTTCTCCCTGGGATGAAATTCACTATTTTTACATGAAAACATAATTAATTTAAACTTCAATGGCCTTTACAAACAAAATTTGGATTAAAAGATCAGTAAAGATTTTCAACATTTGAGATAGGAACAAGTTTATGACTCACAAGCAGGTCATCTTATGACTGAGGGGCTTTTCCATGTTGTGGTAAAAGAAAATCCTGCTTCCAGGCCATTCCATGCTTTATTGTGACTGAGATGCTGTAGTGCTCTGGTAGCAACAGAAAGTCCCTTACTCATATGTCCTGTGCTGAGAAGATGATTTTTATTTTTTTTTCTCAGCCATCTGTGTGCAATACTGCTTCTTCTGTAAATTTTCTCCTTTCCTATCACTTTGCATTCAAAACTTTCAGTAGGATTACTATTTCTTCTTGACTGTCTGTCCTGGAATGTTATTAATTTAACAGCTTGATTCTGAACATCTTCAGTTCCCAGTGATCAAAGTTTCAAGGACTTAGGTCAAAGCTGCATCAGAACTTTGAAGTGTGAAGTGCTTTGGGACCCTCCAGAGCAAGAGCAGATGGGCCATGCCCGGCAGTACCAGCTCCTGCATGTCCTTTCCTCACGTAAAACTACTAAACTTATAATAGAAAAGTACTTTTTCTTTCTACTTTTTTCTTGAACTGTTAAACTGACCTTGTTGCTCCACACCAGTATTTGGCAAATAAGAGGTCAAATAATTTTTCAAGAGTTTTATTTCACCCCTGCAAGTATGTGATAAAAACTAGGCATATATTGGTCCAACATTCTCTCAGGTATCTGGGAAATTTGAGAAAGACACAGTGGATCCCAAGACTGGAAACACAGCCAACAGAAGCATACTGTGAATCTCGTTGAGAAGTTCCTAAGCTACACATTTTACTTAAAAATTACATCCCAACTTTCAGGTTCAAGGATAGTGGCTTCTCTGGAGACAGTCTGGGCATGTCATGCTTTGATCCCTCAAAAAGTTCAGAGGAAAGGTGATAAAAGATAAAGGGAAGCATTTTGTTCAACAGCCAAGCCCACCTTATTCCCACTGTATTGCAGAGTCTACTCCACCCCATTTCAGTGTGAAAGAAAGGAGATCCTGCTTTAAAGTATGCAGACTGATGTAATACTGGGACAGACTCATGCACCCATCATGAGAGATAAATAAATGCAAAGCTTACAATATAGAGCACTGTAATGGGGTCTGTGTGAGGAGAAACATACAGATTCTCCACACTCCAAAATTCTAAATTTTGGTCCTTGCATGGTTTTTTTATGATTGAGCCTATATCCAGCAAAATTAGATTTAGTGTCCTTGCTTCTTATGAAATTACACAGAGGCTGCTGCTTTATTCCTCTCCAGGACAGTAAAAAGCAATAAAATTCTTGCAGATTTCGACAGCAGGCAATTCAATAAAAGGCTATGTATATTTTATAAGTACAATAAAAACAAGTCTATAGCTGGATCATAAATGGAGGTTTGTTTGGTTGGTTTGTTTTCTGCACGCATCAATGTTGGGGTCTATTTTCAGCACAGGATGGTCTTCTCAGCACACAGCCATCCCTTTTTGGGGAGAAGCAGAGTGAAATTTATATTTTTATAATGTATTATTTAAGCTTTGCTCAAGGGATTTTGCAATGTGTGTCTGTTTAAAATTTAAAGGTGTTGTGGAACTGGATACTTTCCTGTTCTTGATGAGTGCTATAAAATTTTACAATTCTTTTTGTTACATTTTAAAGTGTATCTGTCTTATCATTGTGGCATTCCATTTTTTATGAGCAAACAATAAATGTTTGATACACACATAATTATTTCCTAGACTTCCATCAATGCTCACTGATTTTTTAATTCTTCAATAATATAATGGTGAGATTAATAGATTGTTTTATTTCTGAGCTGTAGTGCTACAATGCATTTAGTGACAGTGTCTGTCTGTTGAAATATAAAATTTTATACAAATGTAAAACCAAAACTAATAACATACAAATGACCTACCCTACATAATTACAGCTGTATCAATTTTTTCTTCTCACTTAGAGAAAGAAATTTTAAAAATCTGAAGAAGCTGATTAAAGAAAAAAATACCCTCCCTATTTGTCTTTGAGACAAGTTGTCCGGCACTGAAAATCTGCAAGAGGATGAACAGGGGCTGTGGCATCAAGTTTTCTGGAGAAGAAAACTTTTCTATGTAACTACACAGAATCCACAAGTACCAGTTTGCCCTTCTGAGTGTTTGGTAATTAAAGTCTGACTCATACAGCAAAGAATAACCAGTGGCATCTTACTAGATGTACCAAGAATACAAACTTCCAGAATACATCAACATTATGCAACAGACCTAAAGACATTTTTTCACCATCAGAGTGAAGCTAAAGTGCTGTTGTCCTCATAAAATTGTAGAATCTTGTCATGCAAGAGTTACAGAGACCTTTTGTTTACAAAGACAAGCTGATGCAGACTATCTCCATTTCAAAATCCAAACAAGTATGCTTTGGAGAGACACTTGTGTCAGCCTACCAAATGGCAAGAAAAAATTCCCTTTCGAAAACTGCATTTCTTGCTATAACAGAAAAGGTATGAAACCCACTGCCTTAAAAAGAAATTATTTAAATTAATCACAGCAGGGAGTACAGAGAAGTTACATTCTATAATAAGAAAAGCATCCAAGGGAGAAAAATATAGTCTCTAAGCTTAGCTGAATGATCATTCATGAATTTGACCCAAACTTCCATAACCTCAGGAAAAGGTAAAACATACAAACATTAGTTAATGCTGTTTCCATTTGCTTTCTTTGTGAAACATAAATTGTGATTTAACAAACTAGCCTTGACCCTGCAGGCAGTGTTATCACATGAAGACTGCAGAACTGATCACATGAAGGAAATCCAAAGTGCTTTTCATGCCACACTCATGTTTAATTATAACTGGTACTGTGGCAGATTTTACCTTTAAAAACACGATTTCTTTTTTCCTGAAGAAAATGCTGGAAAGAAGAAAAAGATAGCAAAAGTCATGTATTCTCATAATGCCTATAAGAGAAAACTATATAATTGTGTTATGTTAAACATCATCCTTCTCTTTTCTCTTTTGTGTATTACAGTTTTTATTAGGATTCCAGTCCTATTCATGTAGGAAGGATATGTACTTAATACGTGGATGTGCACTATCAGAATTGATAGGCAAGAGACCAAATTCAGTTCACATATAGTATTTGCTAAAGTGGGGATGGCCTCTGTCCAGGAGAACTTCAGCTCCCACGAACAGCTCGCTCTCCCTCCTACCCCAGGGGTTCCGCACTTTCTCCTGCTCCACTTCAGCCACAGGAACTCCCATGGCGTTCACTAGGTGAGATCTCCAGGGGCACGAGCTGAGAGCCGGGCCACAGAACCAGAGCAGAACCAGAGCAGAACCTGAGCAGAACCCCGTGCTGCTCAGAGCAGAACCAGAGCAGAACCAGAGCAGAACCAGAGCAGAACCAGAGCAGAACCAGAGCAGAACCAGAGCAGAACCAGAGCAGAACCAGAGCAGAACCTCGTGCTGCGGCTTGGAGCAGAACCTGAGCAGAACCCCGTGCTGCGGCTCGGAGCAGAACAGAGCAGAACCTCGTGGTGCTGCTCGGAGCAGAACCAGAGCAGAACCTCGCGGTGCCGCTCGGAGCTCTGCCGAGGCCGCCGTTCGGAGCTCTGCCGAGGCCGCGGCTCGGAGCTCTGCCGAGGCCGCGGCTCGGAGCTCTGCCGAGGCCGCCGCTCGGAGCTCTGCCGAGGCCGCGGCTCGGAGCTCTGCCGAGGCCGCCGCTCGGAGCTCTGCCGAGGCCGCGGCTCGGAGCTCTGCCGAGGCCGCCGCTTGGAGCTCTGCCGAGGCCGCCGCCGCCCCACACGGAGCCAGCCCGGGCTGCACCGACGGCTGCCCACCAACCGGCAGGGCCGGCCCAGCTGAAGTCTTTGTGATGCATTTAAAAACTGAGATATTGTCGCCCGTTTTATCTAAAAATATTAAAGCTTAAGCATAATTAATACTCATTTTTTATCAGTTTATTCGGGGCATTTTCCCGCAGAAAGGGGCGGTTTCGGGGCCCGGGGAGGGGAGCGGCGCCCCCTGCGGGCCGCAGCGGGGCGGCACCGAGCGGTGCCAGGGCTCCCACACGGCTGTGTTGGTCGTGTGCCCGTTGGAACGGCTCGGCCGTGGGACAGGCCCCGCGCCCCAGCACAGCAGCCATCAGTGCGGAACACGCGGGCCGCGGGCTTCAGTTGTACGGTCCGGCGGTCCCCTCCTGGCGGTGTTCCCGGCAGCGCTGACAGTACTGCCCCGGGGAGCAGCTGCAAAGGGGCAGGGGGGGCCGCACGGGACAGCTCGCCCAGGGGTTTTGGGGTGCGAGCTTTCCTACTGAGCGCTCCGCCCCGACCCATCCGCTCCCGAGCGGAGCCAGCAGGGGGCGCCGCGCCGCCCCGGGTCACAGTCCCCGCGGGTGGGGAGCGGAAGGGCCGGGCGAGCGTCACGTGACCGGGACGCGGAAGTGCCTGCAGGAAGGGGGGCAGCCGCTTCCGGTGCGGGCCGGGGTGGGCGCGGGCAGGGCCGGGCCGGGGCCGCACCGACGGCGTCCCGCTATGAGAGAGGCGCCGCGATTGTGGCGGGCCCGCGGGAGGCGCTGCGGCCCGCCCGGTGCCGCGGGCCAGGGGGAGAGCTCCCTGCCAGCGCTTACTGGAGCTAGTGGTGTTGTAAAGCAGCTTAAATGGCGCTTGCATGTTCTACTCAACGCTCCAGCATGGAGATTGGCTTTTTTAATTATTAGTAATTGAAGTAGAAAGACTTTATTCTTCATGAGTTTGGAGTAAAAGTGCAAAACAAAGTAGGTTGTAGAAGGAGGGAGTGATACCCCTTTGGAAAACCGCTTTGCTTGACTTGTATGGCTTTGCTAATTGAAAATATTTTACTTACATTTTGTCTGCATGACAACTGAGAATACAGAAAAGTCTGCTGTCATCTGGAAATGTTTTTGTGGTCACATGCTGGCTCCCTGCTGAAAGATGGCAGTTTAGATTATCAGGAATTGTATATAAATTCTACAGGCATCTGTATTTAAACTTCAGTTGAACATCTTCTGAAGGCTTATTTTTTTTTGTAGGCAAATGTTGAAAAATAGAATCTTAAATCTGAGAATATTCTGAAGGGAGGTAAGGAACTGCATCTGTATAAGAAAATCTGATTGCTTCAAAAAATGGATGTAATATTCACAAGGTATAAGACAACTTGAAATACTTAAATAATTATGTCAAATTGTTTTAAGCAAAGTGGTAAGAAAAATTAACAATTGACTGGCAGGCGCAGTATTCCCTTGCTCACCAGAAAAGTATTGGCAGCTGATTCAGTTCTGAAGAGGTTGGTGCTTTGAGGCAAAGAACCTGAGGAGTGCTGAAGACAGTAAATGTAAAGGTGGTCTTCTGCAGTTACGTGGGTGGCAACTTCATGGAACTTGACACGGAAACCACTTGCTGCTCCATGGCTCTTCAGGAATCCCATAGCACTCAATTTACACACGATCAAATAGAAAAATTGCACAGGTTTAACTTACTCAAGCAGTTAATGTTGGGTTTTCATAGTGGCATTTAAATTTCTGCCGTTTCTAATTACAGTAACATGCAAATTTATCTCAGATTCAATTTAAGACTTCACGTATGCATTTGATAAAGTTGTATTACTGCTAAACGGGCTGTTAATCTTGTGGTAAAATATCTGGATTATGTGAGAATACAGATGTGAAAATCTGGGAGCTCTTAGCTGAGATTTTGTCATGTAATTGCTATGTTGTTACAAATACATGAGGAACAAGCAAGAAAAGTTCTGTGCAGCAAAGGTATCAATTTCTTGATTGACCCTTTAAATTCTGTATGAACATTACAATCCTAGCACTAACCCAAATATCTCAATAAGCTTGGAATTAAAAACTGTACAAGCTGTGGCTGTTCCACCTTTCAGTTAGTGAAACAATAGGGGAATACATGAGAAGGATCATGAGCCTTACTCTTAGTGGGGTTCTGCCTGTGCTTCCAGTGTCATCCTGCCAGTTGATACAGTTGCTTTTGAAAAATTGAGCTTAAGTGAAATATTTCATGAGTAAAATCAGTGTTTGTTGGGGGATAAATGAGTTGATTTTGTTGGCATTTGAAATATAAAATCTTTTGTATGCTGGTACAAACTGTGGGACATCCTGGAGTTAGAACTCTACTGTATAATTCCATGAAATAATGGTTTCATCAGCCTAAACTCATGTTTGAAATGCTTGGTCTATCCCAACTGGATAGCTTGCTGTTTGTAGCTCCTGCTGTAGTTGATGAGCCCTCTTGAAGAGAAGAAACACAACAAAATATGCTGGCATAGCAATTTATGGCCTTAATGCAGCTGTCAGAAGAGAGAAATGAGGTGGCTTGAGAGAAATACAACGGTGGCAAAAGGTTGAGTTCCATGTGAGTCTGTTAAGAAAAGTAGAAGAACATGGAAAGGTCAGTACTTGACCAAGCAGAATTTCTAATTTTATTTCTTTTTTTTTCTTTTTTTCTTTTTTTATTTTTTTTTTCTTGCAGCACAACACTAAATTTGTAATGAAATGGAGTCTGGGTCAAGCTCCTTTCGAGTGGAATTTCCAGATTTTTCTAGCACCATTCTGCAGAAGTTAAACCAGCAGCGCCAGCAAGGACAATTATGTGATGTGTCCATTGTGGTTCAGGGCCATCTCTTCAGAGCCCATAAAGCTGTTCTTGCAGCTAGTTCACCTTACTTCTGTGATCAGGTTCTCCTGAAAAACAGCAGGCGAATAGTCCTGCCTGATGTGATGAATCCCAGAGTATTTGAAAACATTCTCCTGTCTACCTATACAGGCCGGCTGGTAATGCCTGCACCAGAAATTGTTAGTTATCTGACAGCAGCAAGTTTCCTTCAGATGTGGCATGTAGTGGATAAGTGCACAGAAGTGCTCGAGGGAAACCCAACAGTTCTGTGTCAGAAGATGAATCATGGCAGTGACCATCAGTCCCCAAGCAGTAGTAGCTACAATGGCCTTGTTGAAACGTTTGAACTTGGCTCTGGAGGACAGACAGAATTCCACAAAGTGCAGGAACTAAGGGATGGTGAAAATGAAGAAGAGAGCTCTAAAGATGAACTGTCATGTCAGCTGACAGAACACGAGTACCTTCCCAGTAATTCTTCAACAGAACACGACAGACTTAGCACTGGAATGACCAGTCAGGACGGGGAAGAGGGAACTAGTGATAGTGCAGAGTACCAGTATAGCAGACCCATGTATAGCAAACCCAGTATCATGTCTCACAAGCGGTGGATCCATGTGAAACCAGAAAGGTTTGAACAAGAGTGTGAAGGCGTTGATAACCCTTACGATGAACACCAAGTTTCTGAATCCATGAATACCATCCAGGCAGATCACTCTATCCAGTCTTCAGGTGTTGAAGATTTTCACATAGGTGACAAAAAGATGGAAGCAGAATTTGATGAACAGGCAGATGAAAGCAATTATGATGAACAAGTTGACTTCTATGGCTCGTCTATGGAAGAATTTTCCGGTGAAAGGGCAGATGGAAATTTAAGTGCTCACAGACAGGATCTTATGATGGCAGCAGGCTATGGTGAAAGCATTGATATGGCTGCTGGGATTAAAGAAGAAACGTCTCTCACTGGATTCTCCCACGCCGATAAGCTCTATCCTTGTCAGTGTGGAAAAAGCTTTACACACAAAAGTCAGAGAGATCGGCATATGAGTATGCACCTTGGTCTTCGACCTTATGGCTGTGGTGTCTGTGGTAAGAAATTCAAAATGAAACACCATCTTGTAGGCCATATGAAAATTCACACGGGCATAAAACCGTATGAGTGTAACATCTGTGGGAAAAGATTTATGTGGCGGGACAGTTTTCATCGGCACGTGACCTCTTGTACCAAGTCCTATCAGGCTTCTAAAGCTGAGCAGAGTACTACTGAGATGAACTAAGACATTAGTGCTTACATTTGTTTAGTAGAGTAAGAAAAATAAACTAATTATGCAAATAATGTCTGGTACTTGCTATTGTATGTTCTCAAAAGAAAAGTTTTAATGAGTACGCTGGTATAAACAGATCAAATGTATTTTGCTTCCTGCAGTATTACTCCAGGTGTTTATTGTGGGAAGTGCATGTGGTTAATATGAAAGGTGCCTGCAAAATGAGGTTTGAGATTGGTTGTAATCACAGCAGTATTTAGAAGCTGTCTGGTATTTCCAAGTCATCTAAATTCACAGTAAAACTCAGCTCTAAACTGACAAAAATCCTGAAAATATTTAGATGGACGAGAAATTCAGGTAGTACTCCTTAAGGAAAAGAAAACTAAGATGACCAAACTGGCTTATATGATTCACATTTAAATGAAGAAAAAAAAAAAGATAATTCCACTTCAAGGTGAAGCATCATTAGGTAGTGTGCATCATTCAGTAGTCTTCGTTGTATTGCTTAATGAGAGGCAGTGATAAAGGTGGTTTGGTTTTCCGTTATCCATCTTCTTTTTTAAAAATATATCTTCAGTAAAACAGATGTCTAATTTTGTGTTGATTTGTGTTTAGAGTCTGTAACGCACTTAGAGTTTTCACTATATAAACTTCAGTATATATTAAGTATACTTGCTGTTATAGGGTCTAATGCTGTATGACTCTTGACTTCATTAGATTTTAATTACTATGTTGTGAGAGCTTCTAGAAGTGTGTGTAATAAATATGTCTTATTAAAAAATAAGACACCAACTAAAAGTAAAATGTAACATTTGGAACTTAGTCAAAATAATCAAATATTTAAAGTGTAAATTTCTGTTCAAATTTTTGTGGCTTAGTACAGTAGCAAGTACCAAACTCTGGATTCATGAACTGACTTGTTATTGGTACAAAAACTTCTTTGAGAACTGCTATCTAGTTTTAGAAACCTGCTTTAGGAAAATTACATAGTCACTGATAGGTATTTATACTTTTAATTCTTTACTATTTGAATAGTATATAATACTGATTCTTGGTACTGAACTACTGTGACTGGTGACCACAAGCAGAGTTGTTTGTTTCCTTGAAGTTGCTTGTGGAAAATAGTAGGAAGTATGTGATTTGGGATCTTCTAATGGTACTGCAGAACACGGTACCATGCTTAGGGCTGAGGCTGGTATTTTTGCTGGGAAAGTGACACTTTTCTGTGTTAAGATGAGGATCTGTGTGGGGGGCTCTCATTCATGGAGATAGATGGAGGAGTGTGTATAGTTCTAAAGGATGCTGCCAGCTCTGCAGATTGAGTAAAGGCATCACTTGTAAAGGTGACAACAGGATTTTGGAGTTGAAAGCTTAATGCAGTCCAATGCAAAAGCAATTGCTTCTTAGTAAGCAAAAGCTTCTTTGTAGCTTGCTGAAATATGACAAGGAAAGAACATACATAGAAAATAATAGAAAGAGGTGATAACCAAGTACAGTGCTGTCCACATGGGGAAAAAGTGAACCTGCATTAAAGACCTAAGCCTATCTGACCCAAATTTCTATGTTAGGTACTGCTGTGTGCAGGATAATGTACTGAACAGATGACCCTGTATGGTGAAGCAAAACCACACAAAGATTATTACACTTCAGATTCTTTTTTGAACTCCCTGTTAAAATTGTCTTAAGATACAACTGAACTGTATCATGAATGTCTGCTGCAAGCTGAGGGTTTTCTACTCAGCGAGCTGTAATTACTGTAATTTCTTTACTGGCATTCTACTTAAAAACATGATTTTTTAAGAGGCTCTTAATTATTAATCTTCTAATGCTTCAAATATTTTTTCATATGGAATTTTGTTAAAACAGATGTTCCCAAGGACAATGAACCCATTGCTGGCAATGGGCATGAACGATCAGCACCACAGAGTTCCTGTTCTTAGCACTTAATTGAACTCTACAAATAACATGGTGGCCATGTTTAACCTTTGTGATCAAGGTACCGAAACAGGGATTTTGCTCACTAACACTGTAACCTGCTTAATGTATAGCACTTTGTATTTAAACAAAACAAAACCAAAAAAAAAACCCCACAAAAAAAACAAACAAAAAAAACTCCTCCAAAAACAAAAACAACAAAAAAACCAAACCATAATACTTTATAAGTATGTTTTTTAAACTTAGAAATTATATTCCCTCTATGGTTTGTTTACACACTGCTAACACTGTCCTTTTTAATACTAAAAAATACTCTAATGCTTGCCTGTTTACACGAGGGTAGAGGAAAGGGTTCTCGCACTCGGTGGCCCTATTTTTCCATTCTCCAAGGCCTTAGCACATACATGGTGTCATTTCTGTAAGTACCATCATCACATTTGAAGGAAGGCATTAGAATCATAGGCTGGTTTGGGTTGGAAGGAGACTTTGAAGGTCCTCTACTTCCAACCCTTCTGCCATAAGCATGGACACCTTCAGCTAGGCCAGGTTGCTCAGAGCCCCATCCAGCCTGGCCTTGAACTTGTCCAGGGTGTTTATTCTCATACTCATTTCAAGAATGATCTTGTATATTACATTGGTTCTCAGCCCCTTTCCAATTGTTGCTTTAGTTTTGCATAAAAAGGTTAAGGGTGCCTCTTCCCATTGAACCATAAAAAAGGCTGGACAGAAACACCAGTCTGAAAACTGTGGTTGAAAAAAAAAAAAAAAAGTTGGACTCAGACCATCCTACAGAGCTGCCAGCAAAACTGTTTCTTTTACCAGCTTGGAATGACTTTTATATGGGATATTTCAAGGTTTAATGTTACGTCTATTTGCAGTTAGATTACTTTGAAATAAAGCTTTAAAATCAAATGTACTGCGAGAGACACTTTAAAGATTTTATAACAGGTTCAGTAGATCAAATTATAGAACCATGTCCTTTTTTAATGACTTAGCATGAATAGTAACTTTTTAGTATTTGCCTCTTGCTGTTTTACTCCATATTATGGCATTGTCTTGAAAGTCCAGCAAATGTTGCTCCACTGATTTTTGTAGCACTTGGCTTTCTGCTGTTAATTTACATGAAACCAATTGATTGCAGGAAAATACTCGTCTGATTGTCATGAGATCAGGTTGAGAGGACTGATGATTTAAGGACAGCTTGAGATACATGTCTAAAATCCTTACTTTTGCATGTCACAGGTGAAACAGTTGTCTTGTGGTATTTTTCTTGAACTCAGTTTATTGCCCTTTGTCAAACTTCTAATCACCAGTTCAGGTACTGGGGGGGAAGATAAAATATCACTTAAACCATCTTCCTCAGGCTCAGCTTAAGTCTCTTCTCCCTGCCTTTGTATTCTCAGTTTTCCTTGCTTTCACCAAGAGTTGTACTCAGTTCCTGCCATTTCCTTTAGCAAGGTGACAGGTCACAGAGGAGGTTGAGGTCATATGCACACTTCCTTGTCTGATGCTTTTCGTTTCTTAGTGGGCGTCCTCTGGTGCTTTGGCCTGGTCAGTGTCACTGTTCATGGTGACACTGGGCCTCAGTCCCTTCAGGGATGTGCGTGTCTGTTCCAGCTTGGTACTTGTGTGGAACTCAGTTATTTCAGAGGTGTACCTGCTCTAGCAGGGCTTAACTGTAGGCCAAAGTCATCTTAGAAGTGAATCTTCTCAGGCAGGGAGCGTGTCCTTCTGTGACTGTGTCTATACATGTTCTCAGTGACTTCTTCAGGTGTTTTCCCAAGAGCAGCTCTTCAGTTTCTTCACCTGTATCCAGGAGTATCTTCTCCATGTGTCTCCATGCACCTCTTGCTAGCAGCTGCCACTTTTCCTTAAGTATATTTAAGCAGAAGCATTATGTGCACCTCTGGTTGAGATTTTGGCTTACAGTGGATTGTTCACATCCATTTTTTGTGCACACTGAACTTCTTTTGACTAGTGCAGGGCAGCCTGCAAACTCTAGCCACACGTCACCCCTGCAGTCCCTGCCACTGGTGGCCAGTGCAGTTGAACATAGCAAGCCAAGACACACAGATGCAGCTTCTGTCAAGCTTCTGATCTTTGCTAATGGAGGGGTCTTGTTCAAGGTATGAAAAATTATTTCTTACTTGTGGGGAGGAGGGAAGCAATCCATATATATATATATGTATATATATAATAGGACTGCATATGTATATGATGAATTTCATTAATCTTCCCATATGCTTCATTACCTTTGATGATGTGGCTGTTGGCTGTAGTAAAGTGAGTGTCTTCTGAAAACCAGCCACATTGTATACCCAGGTGGCTTTCAGACTTTCCTGCTGCTTTGAAGCCATTCATTGTCCTAGCAGTGGTTGGAAGACTTAATGGTACTACAGCTAAGTTCCTTTTCATTCCATTTTGTAACTATGATGTTAATTACCATGGAATCTGTGTAACTGCCATTCTGAAAATTCAACTGTTAGCAGGGTTAAAATTTGCTTAGGTGTATATTGGACCCTTTTGAGGGAGAAGGTTCCTGTTTCACACACCAGTGTTGGTTTGCGGGGTGCTTTTTTGTTGTCTCATTTTTTAAAGTTTCCTTGTCACTTTTATGGGTGAGCAGATAGACCCTAGAAGATATTGTCAGTACAGTTTTTGGTTACAGCTTTTTCATCTGAGGTGTGTCTAAGGCTGAGAAACCATCCTGTCTCATAAGCACGGCAGATGATCAAAGGCTGATGTATTGAGCATTCCAGTGTTATTGATCATGAAAGAAAGGAGGCATATCAGGATTTGTAATCTCAATACTTTTGCCTGGGTACCAGCAAGATGACCTGTCTCTGAATTATGAGAGCCCACAGCAGTACATTGAGTGTTTTGCTATAATAGAATTGGGACCCTTCTCAAAGCAACAAAGGAAAGTTGGGGTTTTTTTGTCTTTTAAATGCTTCATTGGGTAGCTTGGCTTCTTTAGCTATTAGCTGTAAACTGTCAGTGGCCTAGGGGAAGATGCTGGAAGAGAAGATGGTATATTTTTAATGTGATTAAATTGCAAGTTCTGATTTTTGCTTGAAGCCTGTGTCTGTCGATTGCTGCTCCTTTTTTTTTTTTTAATTCATGGGATTCCATATTTCTTTCAGAAATGTAACTGTTTATGCAAGTCAAGTGAATCTTCCTTAATGAGCTATAAGTTTTTATTCTAAACAAGTCATTTATAATAGTAAATTTGCATATCTTGATATTTTGTGAGATGTTATGCCTGTATTGCAGAGGTTGGATAGTTTTGTCTATAAATATTGCTGTCCTAATTGTACAGCATGGTTTTAATTTAATGTTACTGTTCAATATTTTCTTCTTATAGAAGAGTCCCATGCCCCTTTTTTTCTATAACATGTTTTAATAAATGTTATCTGTCAACTTTGTAAATGTTTTCTTAAGCTTGAATGAAAGGAATGCATGTCTAGTACTAGTATTTAATATTTCACTTTGCCAAAATAAGTGCTCAAAAGTAAAAATCCAAGAGTTGTTGATATATAACTTTATTAAATATATTAAAAAGTGTATCTAGTAATGTGTCTTCTTGAAATAATGATAACATGCCAGTCTAGTCTAAGATAACATTAAACTAAAACCTGATTTTTATGACACAGTAAGTTTGATGAATTTGTGGAATTGGACCCATTTCTTTGCTGCTTTAGGTAATTGGCTTCCATGCTAGTTCAAATTTGTCAAACAGGTTTTGTTGTATCTGCTTTTTTTGCAGAATGGTGATCTCTGAAGTTACAACAGAGAATGTACATGCTGATAGGAAAATTCCAGAACTCTCACTTCATAGTTGCAGCAGCCACATGTCCAAAAGGCCTCTTGGTACAGTTGGAGTAGGCACAGATAACATAGATTTTTTTTTTCTTGTCTAAGTATGAAGGAAATCCCATGCTGTGAAAAGTATTAAAGATTAAGTTTCTCTTGCCTTCCTATGAGGTACCTTCCTTCTTTCTCTCCTTCACTAAATTTAGGTACTTACACTGAACACTTGATTTTGTCCAGCCTCCATCTGCTCAGTCCTTGTGGAACTGTCCCAGCCACTGCTTACTATGTCAGCAAAAAATGAACTCATTCTCACTGAAAGTATGTTCAGTCAGTACCCAGAGAAGTCAATGTTTATGTAACACAGTCTTCAGCAAATTCAAATGGAATATGGTACAAGAAGATTAATTTTCTCTTTTGGTTACATTTACTGAACACAGAAGAATAAGCCCGAAGTTTTTTGCCTGTTCAGAATTAGTTGAGTGCTTTTTATCTGAGTAAACAAATACAGTTTGTCTCTGTGTTCTTTAACTCTGTTATTTGTGCCCTGGCCAGGATGCTTCCCAGGCCACTGTTTTATTTGATCAGCATTCAATGCCTAATGTAGGAAGATTCCGTTCTGTATCTTAAAGGGAGAGAAAGACATACCTCCAGAAGACAGAACGGTGTCTGGTTAGAGCGGGTGGATATCCCAGCAGGACCTACTGGCACCAGTCACTCGGGCTGTTTTCAAGTAGTACGTGATAGCCGGTACATGAACTGTCCGGTTCATAAAGGAATCCTTGCACTGCCTGACCTACAAGCATATGCAGGATAACGCAAAAAAAAAGCTAGCACATGCTTGCTGAAGTGATTTTTGTGAGTGCCAAGGCCAGTATAACACAGGTGAACTTTTGAATTCCTTACTCAGTAAAGGTGGCTGTTAACAGCTGGAGTGCGGGATGTCCTCCCGCAAAACCCCCCTCGCTGTATCTGCGACTGCCCGTCGGGGTACGGCTCTGGGTTCTCTTCTGGAGCTGCACACCGCGAGAGCTCTCGGGAGAGCTGTGCCCGCGTACGCACCGGCTGCAGCCAGCGCTCAAACCCTGCTGCCTTCGTGAGGAGTCGCGCTGCCGGGGCGGCTGCGCCCGACGCCGGCGGGGGAGCGCCCGGGCTCCCGAGCGGCCCGGGGGCACCGCCCGCTGCCGGGGCGTCGCCAGGAAGCGGAACGGCCGCCAGCGGAATCAGTTCCGGGTGCGAGTGGCTGTGGGAGCGGGCGGGAAGCGGCGCTGGGAGCGGCCCGGGCCGGCCGGGATCCGCCATGTGAGAGCCCCGGACAGCCCCAGGTGAGCGGCGTGCGCGGGGCGCGCGGCCCGGGGCGGCGCGGCGCTCCCGGCTGGGACGGGCCGTGCTCGGGAGGGCTCCCGGCGCCTGACAGGCCCCGCGGGGGCGGCGACCGCGGCCCGGCGGGCCGTGCCTCGGTTCGGCTGCCTGGAGCGGCGGCAGCGGCTTCGTCGAGGCGGCTTTCGCCCGGCCGTGCCTCGGCAGGAGCTGTCGCGTAACCCGAGTCGGTGGCTCTGGTGCAGCTCTGGCGTGCGGGGAGGGAGGGCGGACGCGCCCGTGTCGGGGTCTGCTGTTGACCCGAGCGAGGCGTAAAATCCTCGGCGCGGCGGAGTGGGGCGGAACCAGCCCGGCCCCACTCGGGGAGCTGTTCGTTGCCAGGAGCTGCGGGACCTTTCAGCTGCTGCTGTGCCGTCCGGGAAGGTGCAAGGTCTCGTGAAACCGCAATCTCCGTAATGCAAAGGTCTTTCCAAATCCCGGCAGGTGTGCACAGCATGTAGAATTGGAATTGGCTTAGAGTACATCAGAGTTGAGAGTTAATTTGGAACAAGCCAGAACAATCTTAGAAACATTAATGTGGGTGAGCCGGGCTTCCAAAGGAAAACAAAATGCTATAGGATTAGCTGCACTGCAGCTTTTACATGTTATAGAATACTCAACACCTGGATCAGAATGTGCCTGTGTTTCATTGCCTGTCCAGGGACAGCTCCAAACAGTTCCGTCTGTCCCAAGTAGTGTGCTGGGAAAACACCACGAAAAGGTGCTCTTTGCAGCTACTGTAAATCTACTGCAAAAAATGTTGCTGATATCTAGAGAACATAGTCGCTTCATTACTGTAAAGAAACATCGGAGCCAAAAAGTCAACAATTTGATGAAAAGTGGCTACTGTTAAAAAACAAACAAACAAAACCCCACCAAAAACAAAAATGAAAGTGGACAGATTAAAATGCACAATAGTGATGAAGTATTACCTTGATAGTAAATAAAATTGTACTATCAGAAGGTTCAAGAGCTCTCTTCCCACTTTGTGAAAGTTCCGGCTGTGTATATATCCTCACTCTCAAAATACCAGCTGGATTTTTTTTAAATGGTAGTGACATCTCAAAGTTGTCAGGTATTCAGAAAATGTGGCTATTTAACATTACATAATGGGGATATTGTGAAATTTGTGCACAAAATGAAAGCTTTTGATCATTACTTATAAGATCTTGCTTTGAAGTGTATGCATCATCAACATGCCCCTTTGTTTTGTTTGTCTGGCACAATACATTTGTTGATACTGGAATCATAGACACATAGAATAGTTTTATTTGGAAGGCACCTTTTGATCTTGGCTTATCTCCAGTTTGCCTCCTGGTAACTGTTTTTTTGCATTCAGAAATAGATGCGTAGCTGCAACAACTATTATGGCAATTTGATTTTTAGAGTCAAGATTTAGAGATTATTTCTGTTGAGGTTTCTAATTCTTAGGTGAAACTATTTTTATGCATTGGTAGGTGTTTCATTTTTTCCTTTTCAACCACTTCCACACAGGCAAGCAGTTTGAGGAGGACAGTTAAGAGAATAAGGGACGAAGGTGTCATTTGGACTTCAGTTTCATATCTGCTTTCTGTGGGTATTTGCTCAAATAAAAGGGTCCTTTTTTTTCTATAAAATCCTAAATATGCAGTTCCAACAATATCTCTGCTGCACCATGCTGACCACTGAGAATGAGTTTGCAGTGTTGCTGGTATTGGCATGTGCTTCTGTATTCATGTCCATGTATGTACATACATCTAAATAAATTGATTTTATTTTGATGCTAAAATCATCCACTCTTTGAAGTAATTTTCTGTACATCATGTTGTGAATCTTGGTTAGGTAAAAATAAATACTTTAAAATTTTTGTTAGACAGATGTCTGAATTAGTAAAGCTTTACTGAACTGAGTGTCAGGGGTTGCTGCTTTGCTCCCCCAGCAGTTAGTGAGGTTGTGTCCCACTGCACTGCCAGAGACCTGCCCTGCCAGGCAGGAGCTCTGCTTGTGGCTTCACTGCAGCTGTTCAGTACTTTGGGTACAGCGTGGCCTGTCTGGCTGCAGAGAAGGAATAATGATTTTCACTGGAGTGTTCTGATACCTACAGATGCAAGAACGTACGAGCTAAGTTTTCTAGCAACTGCAGTTCAGCCTGTATTAACTGGCTTGTGTTTCTGAGGAAGTGGGCATTTCCTGCAGTTTTGGGAGGTAAAGTAATAAAGTTTTAAATTGTTGTGTAGTTGTCACCTAACAGATTTTGTATTGTAGTCCAAACCAGACATGAAACAGACTAACTTTCAAGGCTCTTTTCCAACTATGCCACATGCACCTTTTGTGTGTGCTTTCCTACAGATAATTTAGTCAAACTGCCTCTATCTTCTTTGACTCCAATGGGCATTTTGGAGGAAGTGAAGAATTAATGCAAAAACCAATTCTACATGTTTGCATAGTGCTACTTGTATTATTAGAAATTTTTTGAACTTTAAAATTTTCACAGTTTTTGGGAGTTTATGTGGGTTTCCTACCCTCCTTTGGTTTTGGGTTTTTTAATTGGCTGAAAAATTAAACTCTGTTTTTTATCCGTGGGGTAGGTCCCCCTGCTTTGGGGGTGGAGTTTCAGTGCAGCAGCAGTGCTGTGTGGCATGCTATTTAAGGCCATCCAAGAGCACTATATATTGACTTTTAAAGGATAATTAGTATTTCACTGTTATGAGAGGTATAAACTGTTAAAATGTTCTATGATCAGTCGTTAGCCTGTTTTCAAAGATTATTTCAAGAGTGTCTTGGAGACCTCCCCCAAGCCTGTGACATACTTGATGGCAGTTTTCCTTTGATACAGCTAGCGTTAATTAGTGTGGCTTTTGTAAATCTGAAGAGTGATGCAAATGCAGTCTGAAAAGAGTAAGAGTGATGAAGACTTTTACCCAAAAACTTCCATGATCATAGCTTATAAGGTAACTTTCCTAGGTTAAAATTCTCTTGAATGGTATTTGCAGTGATGATGTCCTGAGTTCTCAAACAGATGGTGCAGATACTAAGTCCTACAAAATGCAAGGGAGGAGTGCACTGATTTATACAAATACCTGTTTATTTTCTTGACCTTTCTCTGTATTCTGAGCAGTAATGTGTGGAGGAAGTTGAGAACTCCAAGATCATCGAGTCCAGTCTTTAACTGATCACCACATTGTCACCAGACCAGGGCACTGAGTGCCACATCCAGTCGTTTCTTTAACTCCTCCTGGGATGGTGGCTCCACCACCTCCCTGGGCAGCCTGTTTCCATGCTTAACAACCCTTTCAGTGAAGAAATTCTTCCCGATTTCCAACCTGAGCCTCCCTTGCTGCAGGTTGAGGCCGTTTCCTCTTGTCCTATCACTTGTTGCCTGGTAGAGGCATTTTTGGTGTCATGGAGTACTTTGTTTTGGATTTGTTTTAACTTTCATTATGACCCTCCTATGCATTTCTGTTGTCAGATGTGCTACAGCAGTAATGGTTTGTAATGTGGGTTTTTTCCCAAGGATTCCTTGTTGCTGAGCTAATTTAAGAAAATGCAAGGGATCTTTTCTCACACCTTAGAGTGAGTTAAAATGAGTATAATTTGTGTCATTCACCTGTCTGTGGGAACAGTGAATCATACTTCAGTGAGTGAAGGAAATTAAACAGGTGCAGACTTAGAAGCAGAAACTAATCCTATGTTGGCAGACACACAGCTTCGTGTTATAGTTATATGATGCTTCTCCACTGCTACTGTATGATGTCAGTAAAGTTAAATACCTAATGTGGTTTGTCAACATCTATTCTTGTTTTTTAAATTAAATAAGCATTTTTCATAGAACATAATTTTTAAAGGAAATTTCTTTTGAAATCTAATAAGAAATGTTATCCCTCTGGTGTTCAGAGGTACTTCAATGAACACTTTTCTTTGAAGCCATAGGGCAGCAATCCACTACTACTAAAGCCATTTTGTGGGCTATATTTGCTGTATAAAACCCTGACGAATAAGTGTAATTCTCTTTGCAGATGCATAGAGAATTTATATGATTTTTTTGAATGTGACTGTATCATCTGCTACAAAATAGACGAGAGGCTCAACACAGAGCCCTTCTAGGATTTAGTGAACCTGGTGTGCAGTTTTGGCCTATGCCTTCAGCCAGTTTCTTGGATACATAATAGCTATGAAAACCTTAAACACTTTGACCTACTTTTGAGGAAAGGTTAAGAGAGGATCTAATTGTAAACAGGTGCCCAGACTCAAGTTTTGCAGGGTTTTGCCCTAACTTTACACTAACTCCCAGGCAGGGGTGAAAGCTAAAGCATGACAAAATGCACTACTTTTTAACAATGAGTGTACCTGACACTGCTGTGAGTTTACAGAATCACAGAATATTCTCGGTTGGAAGGGACCCAAAAGAATAATTGAATCCAGCTCAAGTTGTCTTAGTTCTCACTACCCCCAAATGCTCAAGTTTATATATTGCAAATAAAACTCATAATTTTGATCTATTGTTCTATATGACTGTACTGAGCCCAAATAACACAGGTTCCCTCTGCACATGCTGAGATACCGTGGAAGGTACCAAATGGGACTTCTGACTGAACATGATTTCTTTTTCTTCTTCACCTGTGCTAATTCTGTAAGGAATATTATGTGTATAAGTTTCATTATGACTGTCTGGTTAACTGCAGAGATTTTTTTTTTTCTTTAGAGCATACAGTGGATGTGTCCAAAGTTAATTTGTATTTTAAAGTACCTTCTTCCTTCAGTTTAATGCTATATGCCTGACCCCAAAAGAGAAGAGGTTAGGGAGATGTTTCGACTTGAAGGAAGCTGTTAAAAATCTGGGGGAGTTCTTATTAGCCTTTTCAAACTGTAGTGATCTTCCCAGATCCTTTCAGAAATGTTTCAGCCATAAATACTGTTGTCTTGAAAGTGCTACTGCTCTGCCACCACTGATGAATAATTGAGTATTGTTATGGTGCAGTACCTGCTGAACATTATTTTGGTTAATGTTACTAGAATTTTATTTTGGAGCTGCTAACTTGATGCTATATACAAATAAAATAAAACCTTGTTGTGTATGGGAATATAATCTATGGATTTATTTTCTAGACAGTGACATAAGGGACTTTTGTGAATAAATAAGATAATTTTTCTTCTGGCTCTTATTCACCAATAAAACATGGCAAGTGGTGCCTGCTTTTCTGATGTGTGTAATGCCCAGTTTTTCCCCTCAGGTCTTGCTTTCCCAAATTGATATGAGGAAGTTGGGATGCTCTGGTACTAACCCTGCCAAAATTACTGCTGCCTCAGTGCTGTCCCTGCCACTGTCCAGCCTGCTCCTGAATGGGGTGTCCATTGGTAACCTGGTCACTTCTCCTCTACCTGGAGATTTAAGGTTGTGGCTGAAATCAGAAGAAGGGTTCCCTTCTGTCCACTGCTGCTATACTTCAAAATTCTTGTCATTTAACCCCAGCTTTCCACAGATGATTTCAAGGTCACAGGAAGCATGTATCTGCAAAGGAAGAAACTCACAAGAGTATGCTGTAGCTTGCTCTCTTTGTTTATTAGGAGCAGATGAGTATAGAATCTTGTTGTGCACTGCCTTTTAGGCAGGGTGTACTTGACCTGTTTGCTTGCTCTCAAAGCAGCACTGTGTTCCCTTGATCCCTGTTGCAGGTTTTTACTGCTTTTCTGCTACACTGATGAACATACTTACAGACCTTTAAGTCCATCATCCTGTCCCCTCACTCCCAGGATGTGCTGTTTGCTCCTAGCATCTTAAGCAAAATAAGCTTCTTTGTTTCCCAAAACAAAGATGAAACAACTCTGAGAACAAGGATGTAGAGTTACTTACAGATATGTATATGCATATGGATATAATGGGGTGTTCTAACAGTCATGCCAGGCAAGGGTCACAGTGGATCCCTATCTCCTTGGTGACTTTCAGGTTCTTGTGCTTTCTCTGGTATGTGTTTACAGTCCATTTTCAATGCGTGGCTGTGTCCCAGGGACCGTGAATTCATCTAGAGATGCTATGATGAAAAGAGCATAATTTTTTCCCCTCTATCATAAGGCATAAAATGTCCATGTTCTTTTTCTCAGATACCTATCCTTAATTCCTTCTTTCTGAACCAGTGTTAGTGGTGACAATTTATATTTTAATACTTTCTCCAGGAGTAAGTTATTCTCCATTTTGCTGGGTAAGAACCCTTAGGGGGAAGTATAGGACAAGGAAGAACTCCACTGTCTATATGTGACAAACTTTCTGTACATCCTAGGCTAGAATGCCAAATTACTGTTTTTTGAAGGCTGGTCTTTTGGCTTGTGCAGAGTCCCTGACCCAGGTAACTTGTCTATTCATGTCACTTCAAGTCAACACAAACTCTTCCTCCATTTAGCAGAGAAGCTTAATCACAAATGGCTGATGTTGCATCTGTGCATAGCTAATAAGCCCCACAAATTAAAGGTTTTCTATGTTGGGTTTCTAGGAAGCTTGCTGTCCTGTCAGACACAAATGACAGATTGTGATGGTGCATTCCCTCCTCCCTGGTGATTCCTTAAGTGACCTTAAAACACTCATTCGTGACACAGACATGCATCCAGCTGCTGATACTCCTGTCTTCTGCACAGGACTGGGATAGTGATTCTCTGCACAACAGGCAGGGATGCTCAGAAAAGCATGTAACTGCCCCACAGCTGGGATACGTTGTGTGTTGTGCTGTTTGATTTTTGACTTACATCAGCTCTTCACTCTGGACTGTTTTGTAGCTTTGTTTGCTGAATGAAAGAACTGTCCTGCCAAAGCCATCTCTGAAGGGATTGCTGCAGTCATGTCACTACTTGCAAGTAGCCATCTTGCAGTCCTTATTTCTCACCTCAGATGTAAGAGCCTAGAAAATGTCTTTTTTCTCACTTATACCTCTCAGCCAAAAAAACTCAGATTAATTCCCATTTACTCATTTAACGGGTAATGACACTGGTGAGTTAGAGAACATATTTAGCAAGTCTGATTTTGAATGTTCTGTGAGAGTTTTTGCCACTTTTCTAAGTCAAACATAATGTCCAGACAGGAAGCTGGCTTTCTTGCATCTGCTGAAAAGAAGTTCTGTTTTTGAAGGTTGTGGATGTTAGTTTTAAGTGAGGGTCAGCTGATAGAGCTCCAGTGCTTCCTTTTAGGCTTTTTTTCCTATTTCTACCTGTCATTTTTCTTTTTAGAGTACCTGAATTTTCATAATTTGATTTAAATTGTTCCTGTGTCCCATTACAGCATGTAACATAATAGAAAAAAAAATCCACTAGTATATTGTGATACACTGGATATGCTTCCTGCATCTGAAGTCAATGGATGATGTTGAGATCTGTTTGTTCAATTGGAAAAGCAGGTACGGTGGCAATATTATGTCTTTAGACTTCTGCATTAATAAAAACTAGAATAGCAATAAAAGTCTGAGGGTTCTTGGGCACTTGATTAGTGTTCAGTCTTGGAAATGTAGGGTAATGTTGCAGATCAACGTTCTCAGGCCGATAGTGTGTGTGTGTGCTTTTTACAATAGTAATCTGTGAAAAGTGCTTTTCTTTAGCTTTTGTTTGGAGTGCTATACATTTCTTTAAGGCCTCTTTGAATATCCTTTCCTGCTGTTTAAGCACCCATGGCTTTTAACTTAGGTTAGAATTTAAATGTCAAATTATTCTAGCTAGGAAATCTGCTGTGTCAGATGAGCTTCAAAGTTCACACCATGGTTTGTTAAAAAAAAAAGGAAAACTAAAATCACGAGAGACATTTTTTAGAAAATTGAAAGTCCATGAGTGGCTCAAACATTTTTCTTTCAAGTCTTTTGGTTTAAGACCGTACTTTTTATTATATGGAGTATTTATGCTAAATGTTTTGTTGTAATGCACCTTTAACAGAGCAATGGGTTGATGTGGCTTAAACATTTGCAAGCATTTGTTTTTGAAATGGAAAACTCTGCATTCATTCTCTGTTTTAAATCTTCCAATTTTTTCTTTCAGATTACTCTTTACATCTGTAGAAATGGACAGCAGCAGTTTCATTCAGTTTGATGTGCCGGAGTACAGCAACACTGTTCTGAGCCAGTTAAACGAGCTCCGCTTGCAGGGGAAGCTCTGTGACATAATCGTGCACATCCAGGGCCAGCCGTTCCGCGCCCATAAAGCTGTCTTAGCCGCCAGTTCTCCCTATTTCCGCGACCATTCAGCATTGAGCACCATGAGTGGCCTATCTATATCGGTTATTAAAAACCCCAATGTTTTTGAACAGTTGCTTTCTTTTTGTTACACTGGAAGGATGTCCTTGCAGCTGAAGGATGTTGTCAGTTTTCTGACCGCAGCTAGCTTCCTACAGATGCAGTGCGTCATTGACAAGTGCACACAGATACTGGAGAGTATTCATTCGAAGATCAGTGTTGGTGATGTTGATTCTGTTACTGTTGGTGCCGAAGAAAATTCAGAGAATCGTAACGGCGTTAAAGACAGCAGCTACTTTGCCAACCCTATTGAGATATCTCCTCCCTATTGCTCTCAGGTGCGACAGTCAACAGCAGGCAGTGATCTTCGGATGGAAACTACTCCAGGCAAAACTCTTCGTAGTCGTCTGCAAGAAGAAGGGCATTCAGACCGAGGGAGCAGTGGGAGTATCTCTGAATATGAGATTCAGATTGAAGGTGATCATGAGCAAGGAGACCTGATAGTAAGGGAAAGTCAGATTGCAGAGGTGAAAGTTAAAATGGAAAAGTCTGACAGACCAAGCTGCTCTGATAGCTCTTCCCTTGGTGATGATGGATATCACACTGAAATGGTGGATGGAGAGCAGGTGGTGGCGGTAAACGTTGGTTCCTATGGGTCTGTCTTACAACATGTTTATTCATTTACTCATGCCTCGTCACAGGCTACAGGTGTGTCAGAAACCTTTGGAAGCATGAGCAATACAAGTCCTTCAAGGTCAATGCTGAGCTGTTTCAGAGGGGGTCGTGCACGCCAAAAACGAGTACCTGCAGGTCACTTGCATAGTGATGTCCAGGGCTTGGTGCAAGGGGCTGACAGTGAATCCATGGTGAGTAATCCAGGATATGAAAACAGTCCACGGGAAAGAAATGCAAGAGGTCATTGGTATCCGTACAATGAGAGGCTAATTTGTATTTACTGTGGCAAGTCTTTCAACCAGAAAGGGAGCCTTGATCGACACATGCGATTGCACATGGGAATAACTCCTTTTGTGTGCAAGTTTTGTGGAAAGAAATATACCCGTAAGGACCAACTTGAGTATCATATTCGTGGTCACACAGATGACAAACCCTTTCGCTGTGAGATCTGTGGAAAATGTTTTCCTTTCCAGGGTACACTAAACCAGCACTTGCGAAAAAACCACCCAGGGGTTACAGAAGTGAGAAACAGGGTTGAGTCTCCAGACAGAACAGAAGCGTTTGTGGAACAGAAAGTAGATAATGATGCTTCAGCTTCTGAAGCCATGGATTCTAGTATGGAAATTCATGCAATGTCTAACACATCTGATTAAAATCATACATCTAAGTGAAACACAGACAAGCACATTACTAATGTATTTTTAAAGTATTTTATTATTTTAGTAATCTTCAGTACAAGTGTAACAGCCTTTTCATTTTCCTCACCTTCTGGAAATCAGTTAGAAATGGTTTCTGGAGAAGACTTCAGAAGTATTCTTTGGTTTTGAAGGAGGCTGAATTGTTCGGGGTTTGTTTTTTTATATTTGAAGATGCTCAGAGTATAAAGACAGTGTACTGGGGAAAGTCTAGGAAGAGTCTGGTGAAGTGTCCCTGCTGATTGATCTGGTGAGATGCAAATGCCAGTGGAGAAAGATATTAGAATAAGATTGGCAGCTCTGGTGAATGCTCAAAGAAGCTGTAATTTCCTTTATTTCTTAAATCCTGTTGCTGGTAATGAGTTACACAGCAGTTGGGAGAGAGAATATTGCAGCTGTGATTCCTCTCCTGTCACAATGTTCACTCTTACTGACTGGTTTTGGTAGTGAGACTGTTTATATATATAAATTTGCTTTATATATATAAAATGCTTTCACTTTACCTGTTCTGTGTCAAGGCTAATACCATATGCCACTCTATCAACCGTTAGGACTCCTCTCTGCTTAGAGTTTAGAACTTTGGACTTTGGGAGGATGGTTTTGGTTTTAAAGAAATGTTGTTTGGTTTTCATTTTATTAAACTATTACTTTGTGTGCAAAAGTGAGCAAAGTGAATTACCTTGTTTTAATAGCTTTGCTTTATAACATATGTAAACCAAATGCCATAAATCTATTAAACTATGGTTAAATTGTTGAAAGGTTTTGTTAGTTGTCTAGGATGCAAGCTGGACAACCTGTGGTGCTGACCTTTTTATATATATAGAGATAGATATATCTATATATATATAGATATACACACATATATATATATCTATATATTAAAAAAAATATTAGCAAACCTAAAAGTAGCATTGTGGTCTAAAATGTGTTTTTACTGGCCTCAGAATCTACCTTCATTTTGTACTGTAGAACCATACCAGGTAATTAAACTTAACTTCATCACTCTTCATGGTTGGTTAAAACATGAGAGAGATGTAGTTTAAACCACAGTATTTCCAAGCAGTATTTTAATAGGTCTCTTCACAGAGAGCTGTTTTCAGGTGCACGTTGGCTTCCTACTTAAATCTCCGAGTGATATGCCAGCACTTGGAATTTGTACTTTTTTTGTATAGAAAAACAAATACTTTATGGGAATTTTGAGCAATATGTTATTTCATGTGTGAGTATTACAGAGTTGCTATGGCTTCTCTGTTTTTTCAGTGGTTTTTTTCCTCTATAAAGGAGCTACCGACTTTAAAAATACTCTAAATCTTTTTTGTTTCACCAAATATGTGTTTTTAATATGGTGCTAACTTCATAATTTAGGTCAGTATGATATATAACATGTGAAACATAATGGTCAAGGAAAAAAAATCCCCAAAAACAGACAAAGGCCCCCCTACACAAACCAACTCCCCCAAAATCCCAACCAAACAGGGAAAAAAAAAAAAAAAAAAAAAAAAAAAAAAAAAAAAAAAAAAGGCCCAATCCCATACCACAAAAAAAATGGCTTAAAAGACCTCAAAAGCATGGGCTGGCAAACACTACTGTTTAACATTCTACCTGATGAACAGAATTAATTATTAAACTAATCACATACTTCTTTAGAATACAGGTTTTATATTTTTGGGTCTTATGTTTGTTTAGCTGATACTGAAAATCCATTTGTGAACGTGTTGTTTAACTCCCAAAAATTAGAAAATAAAAGCTCATTTCGAAATTATTCAAAAGAAAAAGGTGGGTTTGATATCTTTTAAAACTTTTTGGCCTCTGTGAAGCTGGGGCATATTTGTGCAGTGGCTTTATTAAATACACGAGTTCTTAATATTATGACACTCTGCAATAAGAATTAATTTCTCAAATATGGATTTACAGTATAACCCCACCTGCTCCATTGGAGCAGTTGCTGTTAAATTAAGTACATCATCTGCCTCTTTGCCCTAAAACTGCCTAAATGAAGAGGCGGGGGTGGGGAGATGTTTCTCTCCTTGAAGTAATTTTGTTTCTAGTAAGGGAAGGGATGGTCTGTGTCTAAAGGCTGGTAGTCTGTATGTTTACCCACCTAAAACATGGTGTTCCTGATACAGTTTTTTCCTTGAGTGTTTGTTTTAAGTAATTAAATGCAAAAAGTGTGTTTTGGTAAATTAAGTTTGAGACATGCAAAATCCAAGAAATGTACAGTTATTCTTAACCCTTTATCTTGAACCTGTGCTGTGGTGCCTTCGGTGTGACTTTTTCCCTGGAAGGATGACTTGAGGATAGCAGGATATGGGTACAAATTTATATTTCTTGAATTTCTCTGTGTCACAATCTTAGCATTATTTAAATCTAGTTCTTTGTATTTGTAAATGTATTAAAATGGTTTGAGTTTACCAAAGAGTGACTTATCCAAAATTGTCTCAGACAAAAGCAAACAAGAAAACAACATCACGTTGATTGTACAGGTTCAGGTTCATTGTAACAGACTGTTAAGGGGCAGGAAATGATGCATTTTTCTACGAGGCGTGGTTGAGCAGCGTGTGTCCCTCCCCGTTCTTGCCTCCAAGCCATAGCCAGCTGTGCGGGCTCTGCGGGCAGCGGCACTGCCAGCGTGCCGTGTCACTCGGCGGGTGCCAGCAGCGGCACTGCCACACACACGACATGGACTCCTGATGGACTTGGCATCAGCAGCCCGGGCCGCGGCTTCAGCAAAGGTGGAACTGCAGAGTCTCGTGTCTGTGCAGTTCTCAGCACAGAGCTGTTACGCGTTTCATTTACAGTAAATGCAAAAGTCAGTAGAATATGTGAAGAAATATTTGACAGCAAAATAAGTAATGAAATTGTACAGGCTGGTTCATAATTGAGTCTCTTCTTAATCTACCTTTTTAATTCTAGGGAAATGTGAAAACAGTGACAGTGTCCTTTCCTCTAGATGCTTAACCTATTCTGACAAACTGTGAAAATAAAGGATTTTATACCTTTGCTAATGTTTCTGGTTTAAAACTATTCTTTTAGTTTTCTTTATCACTTATCTTCCATATTACTTCTTTTAAACTTGTAAATACATTTAGAAAATAGCTTTGTAAATACCTACAGTGTATTAAAAGTTCCGTTTGGTCACCAAGGCCTCAAGATTGGCTCTGCTTTTTGAGTGTGAAATCTTTCTGTAGCATAAAGGATACTGTCAGTTCACTGTCAGCAGGGGAGACTGTCGGCCTAAATTGAGAGTTTTAATGCAGTCTTCCCCAGCATAAATTAATGTTTTATGCTGAAGCCTTTGGTTTACTTTAGACAAAACAATGAGGCCTCTTAATATGTTTAGGCTGAATTATGGGAAGAACAACAGGAATAAAATCAAGGGCTGGGAAAATATTGAATAAGCTTTACCTTTAAATATATATATATATATATTATTTTAATTTTTGTATTAGTTTACTGTGATTCTTTTATTGTCATTTTTCTAAACAGGTTTTACATGAAACCATTGAAAGGGACTCAAATATGCAACACCTAATCTATTTTCCAAGGGAATTTTACCCTTGAATGGTGCTTTTTGACTGGTCAGGGTTATTTATTAAATTTTATATTTGAAAGTATTTGGGGAATTATGTAAATTCTTTATATGAATCTCTTTATTTCATGAATTGTAAATTTCATAATACTCAGTGATCAAATTGGAAGTTTAGTAAAGTCATTCAAAATGTTCAAACTTTATAATCTGTGTGCATTTTACATATATTTTATCAAGTGCCAGAATACTTGTATTTAACGTTGTAGATTTAATACTACTTGCACATCCCTGTGGCAGCATTAACTTAAGTCACGCAAGTTTACACTTAAAAAAAAAAAAAAGCTAAACAAATAAGTAAGCCTGGGACGTGTGTTCCTGTATTTCTTCAGGGGATGTGAAGCCACGCATCACCGACTGAGCAGGTTTGCTCCCTGCTCCTGTAGCTCACTCCTGCTATGGCAGACACAGAACTGCTGACTCCCATTCCCACAGGCCAGGGATTCAGCCTTTGAACTCGGCCTGAGAGCCTCTGCTTGTAGATCTGGGCAGAGGTAGAGCTCTTGCACGATTTTAACAGTGTTTGTTTCTGACTGAAAATTTGTATTTTTAAATAAATTTTATTTGTATGGTTATTTTTCAAGATAAATAATTGAACAGTTTGAATGACTTGACTTGGTGTCATTATCTTGCAATATAAACCGGGAACCTCACACCTCCGCACTTCATCGCCACGTGAAGTAAATGAAGCTAGCTAAGCTGATGCTGTAAGATTGAGTAACTTGCCATTAAGGATTATTTTACAGCATGAACTTTAAAATATTTATTCAAATGATATTTTACTCTTGTATTCACTTTGTTTTTAGATTTGTGACATGAATATTTCTGTGCTGCTTTATTTTGTTCTGATGAATTTGTTTCTTGCTTGTAAATTGCCTTTTTTATGGTATAAAGTCAATCGGAATTGCTGTTTGTAAATTAAAATGCTTCTAGAGCAAATCTGTGGTGTCAGTGTCTACATTTAGATACTCAGTTACTGAGGAGCTTGCATTTTAGGTGCTATTACTGAAGTTTTACAAGAAGCATTTTAATACTGATCTACCAACTAGAAATCAAAAGACAATCTAAATTGTCTTTAGAGACAATTACTCTTGAAGTTTCTCTGTTTTGCTTCGTTCAGAACAGATGATCATTTGAGTTGTGTGCTCCAAAACCTCATCCAACTTTCAGAGCAAAACAAAGAACCCAGCCAGGTGGTGTCAACCCATCCATGCCATTCCAAGGCCAGTCTCTTGAGGAGGGACACCCTGCTTGGTTCCTCCAGCAGCTTTTATGTTTTATGTTCTGCCACATACGTCAGTAGGGGTGATGCTGCTCCCAGCAAGCATAGGTATACTCCTCCTCACCCACAACATGGGATTTAACAGGAGCAGCCCCAGTGCAGCTGTAGGCCATGGTTATCTTGACTGGCAGTGGGATTTGGAGGGGCTGGAGTTGAGTGGGTTAGTCCCTGAGTCCCTGTTGGTGTCAGAGTACCTATTCCAGAAAAACCTCCCTTCAAATCCCCTTCTTATAAGGTCTGAAACTTCAAGCACTGCAGAATGGGGTAAACAAGACCTGACTGTTAGGAGTGGGATAAACATACTGTTGCACTGGAATCCAGGCCACTGAGACGATCAGGCGCCTGGAGCATCTCTGCTCTGGAGCCAGGCTGGAAGGGCTGGGGCGTGCTCACCTGGAGAAGAGAAGGCTCTGGGGAGACCTCAGAGGCCCTTCCAGCATCTAAAGGGGCTCCAGGAGAGCTGGAGAGGGACTTTGACAAGGGCCTGGAGTGCCAAGTCCCACTGCCAGAGGGCAGGGTTAGATGGGACATTGGGCAGGCATTTTTCCCTGGGAGGGCGGCGGGGCCCTGGCACAGGGTGCCCAGAGCAGCTGGGGCTGCCCCATCCCTGTAGTGTCCAAGGCCAGCTTGGACCAGGCTTGAAGCAACCTGGTGCAGTGGAAGGTCTCTCTGCCCAGGGCAGAGAGGTGGAATGAGCTGAGCTTTTAAGTCCCTTCCAATCCAAATCATTTTGATCCTATGAACGTTCTGAAATACCTGAATTTCTCTCATTGTAGCTGGCACATCTGAATTCAGCATCAAGGGAAAAACAGACCCAGAGACTGGATGCTTGTTTAAAAAGTGCTATGAAATACGACTTTCAGCAAAGCAGAAAACAGAAGACAAAGATTTTGTGAAAAAGTTTTTTAAGATGGCTAAGGAAAAAAATTGGTTTAGGTTAAAAATGACCAGTTCTGTTCACCTGATCTTTGTGTACATGCAGACAGAGGCCCCATTGCTTAACTTTTCATAATGCAAACTTCTTGAAAACAGGTTGAGGGGAAGGTAGAATAGCCAATGAACATGGCATATGGAATTTATACTTCCTGCAATAATCATGCAGAGAACATGAAGCCAAATCCCATGGATGCTACATTTCATGAGCTATATGAAATAGCATAGTACATTTGTATTGTGCATGGTTTTAGGAAAAATTTAAATTGAATACTATGTCAAAAGTCAATTGAATTATAGACAGAAACATTTCATTAAAATTTAGGGAAATATATGGCTGATGGCATTGTCTAAAGTAACATTACTTGTCTATGCATTCTTTTCCACCAGAGGGTGCTGGCTGATTTTTAAAAATATATTATGTAGGGGTCATTTAAGGCTCTCTACATAGCAGAAGCCTAAAATAGGAACAAAAAAAGATGTTTCCAGTCCTCATTATGACACCTTCAAGAGGAGCAGGTGCTGGGTGATTCCATTATTAGCAGAGCAGTGTTCATACCCAGGATTCAGAGGCTGTCCTGCTGTGCTGCATGAGACCTATCTAGGCAGCAACACCATTTTACAGTTAAGCGTCAGTTTGGTAACTGTCAGAATCTCAGAATCTCATAATCATTTGGATAAGAAGTTAACTGGTTTTCAGATAGTTTTTTTTCCAAATTCCTGTAGAAACACCAGCAACTGATGTATATTTCTCAAAGACTGTAACACATGGAACGCTGTTTTAATGTCCTGGCATAGTGATACAGGACAGAGAAGAAAACATTTTGTCAGAGAATTCTGTACTTTTGCTCTAGTGGGAACTGATGCTATACGTATTAGAGGAAAGTGTGTTGCTTGGCAGTACACCAATAGGATAAACTCAAATAAGAATTAAATTATTGGAGATTCATATGAAATTAATTTTCTTTAGCCTTTCTGATGGGGAGGAAAGTGTAGGGAGAATGTCTTCTGTGTACTACTTCTGAACTACTTCAAGTGCCTTTGGCTTTGATATAGTTATTGGTGTTGTGAGCATCAGGGCTTGTAAGCAGATTTCAAATTTATGTTTAAAGTTATTTTTACAGTTTATTCTCAAATTGAATTTTACTGCTTTGAAAAGCACACTCATACACATTTAGTTGTGATGTCTGAAGATGTTTAAACTGCTCTGAGTTTGATAGGTACTGAAAACCTTTGATAACCAGGAAATTGGAAAACACCTTATAAATGTATTCAGGGCATCATGCAGTATCTCAAAGCTTCCTCTGCGTACCCTCACTAGGCTTTTGTTCTCTAACGTGCAAACCTGCAGGCCAGTCCGATGGGCTGCGTGGCATCCTGCATGTACCTTACCACTCCACAGAGCCTGTGTTTTCCTGTAGTGATGCCTGCACACCGTGCCTGAGTGTTGCTTTAGAGAAGCTGTAAATCAGAGAAAGGGGCACCATCCTTTTGACTCGTTGCTTCAAGTACCACCAAGAAGCCCACAAAGCTCTGCTTGATTACCTCGGAAGAACACACACGGTCACTGACCTGCAGCATCATCACCCGGACCTGAACCTGACCCCAGTTTTAGTTTCGTCGGTGCACGGCAAGGGAGAGGCACGGCCCATGCTGCGGTGAGGCGACGCGAGCGGCCGGCGCTTCACCGACTCTTCTCCGGGAGCGACCAGAGCCGCTGCTCGGGGCCGAGCCGCCACCGGGAGGGACGCTCGGGCTGTTCGGAAGCCCTGCCCGGACCCCCGGGTTCGCCCCGGTCCGGAACCCCGGGCTCGCCCCGCTCGGGGACCCCGGGTTCGCCTTGCCCGGAGCCCGCGCTCCCGCCGCCCTCACGGAGCCACGTGCGCAGCCGCACTGCGACCGCCAGGGGGCGCGGGCGGGGCGGGCGCAGCCAAGGACGGCGCCGCAGCACCTGCGCTCGCGCGCTCCCGCCCCGCCCGGGCCCATTGGTGCGCGCTCCCGCGCGGGGAGCCGGTTGGCTGGCACGCGCGTCAGTCGGCGCGCCCCGGCCCCGCCCCACGGTCCCCAGCCGGGCCGGGCCTCGTCCCCGGCGGTGCTGAGGGCGCCTCCCTCTCACCGAGAGAGGTCGTGGGCGTTGCTGGGGACGTCGCGTCCCGAACAGGTGAGCTGCGGACGAGCCCCTCGTGTCCGGCACAAAAGGTGGGACAGGCCGCCAAGCCCCTCGTCCCTCAGCCTTCTGCCGCCCCTGCTCCGGCGTGTGTTGCGGGCGGAGCTCTGCGGCGACAGGCCCAGACGGGCGCTCGCCCTCCGGAGGCGCCGCTTGCGGGAAGCCGGCGGCTCCCGGCTCCCCGGGGGCGGCGCGGGTGCTGCCGCATCGCCGCCCGCCGCGCTCCCCACGGCCCCGCGGGGCTCGGGGCTGGCCCGGCGGGGCCGGCGCGGGTCCGGGCGGACAGCGGGAGCTGCCTTGCTGCGGGTGTGGGAGCAGATGGAGAGCGCCTAGGGTTGGCTACGTCCTCCTGTGTCTTTAGGAATAAATTTGAAAACTGTCTGCATATCATGTGGATGAAACCGTGCGGGTCTTGTTAAGAGACCTGTTTTCAGATCGCTTCAGATAGTTTTTGGTCTAGCTTCTGCAGGCTGATGTCAGCCTGGGGCTTTGGCATGTAGTGGATGGAGGAATGGATGTTGAAATTCTTGGTTATAGAAGCACATCATGCCTTTTGTCTGTAGTTTGTTGTTCTGAACCCAACTGAATGGAACATATGTATTCTTGTCATGCTAATTATTGAAAAAATTGAAATGCATAGATGTCTCTGAAATACAGAAGAATATTCCTTGCCTCATAAACCTTATCTATGAATGTTGCAATATGTCTTTTATGTCTAACGTTGATAGTTAGATATTTTTCATGCCTGGTAGGTGTCCGTCATGTCTGAGTGGGACAGGAAGCTGCTGTAAAGGCAGAACTACACACACTGGCTTGTTTGTTTTCTGTATGTTGCCCATCCTGCATGAAGTAGCACGAATTTTTAGAAAAATAAGTACAAAACACTTTCAAACCAAGGTATTTTATTAGTTTTTTCTGTTTATTTGCCTTATTTTAGTGAAGCAAAGACATCCAGAAGTTCAGGTGCATAGTAAGTACAAAGTTTGCCCTTTATTAAAATGCCATCTGATGCAGGGCAGACATCAGGCATAATGTCTGTAATTTGATTGAAATACTTAGGTAGATACTAATCCATTTTTAACTTGTCATTTTGATTGTTTTATAAACTAGGATCATTTACTCATGCAAGGAGTACCTATTGGATGAGTTTTGGGTGTGTCAAAAGAATACTGCTTTTCTAGCAAAAGATAGCTTGCTTTGACACCAGTAGGAATTGTGTATAGTTAGTCTAGAAGACAGACTTTTTTAAGGGGGAGGTTCCCTAGTGGTAGAACGAAAATAAAAACTGTAGTAGAGGCACAGTTGTAACACCAATTGACCTGCAGTGATTTTTACCTCTATCAAAGCAACATGGGCTTTAATGAGATTTTCATGTCAGTCTATGTAAAAGAAGCTGTCTTTGAGATTATTTTCTTTTCATTTGATGGGTAATTTTATTAAACATTAGGTTTTATAGAAGTTGCTATAAGGCAAAAGAAGAGAAGAAGGAAGGGCTATGCCTAATGTAAATATCACCAAAATTAGTTACCTAAGCAGTATTTTTCTCAGGTTTGTAGC